TTTTTTGGTTTGGGATTAAAATTAAAAAAAAAGGCCAGGGTAAAAACCCTTTTTTTGAACCTTTTTAGAAAAAAAATTTGGAACGGGGGCCAAAAAAAAAAAAGTTAATGGGGAAAGGGTTGATTGGGGGGGGTTTTTTTCCCAGGGGTCCCGAAAATGATTTTTTCCAGGGGAAAACTAAAGCCTGCCCATTTTTAAATAAATTATTTTTTTTTAAAACCTTTTTTAAAAAAAAGTCCCCGTTTGGTTCCCCCCCCGTTTTTTCCCCTTTTTTTTTTGTTTTAAAAGCCTGGGTAAATTTTTTGGTGGGGTTTGGGTTTGGCAAAATTCCCCTCCCCAGGGGGGGGGGAAAGGGCATGGTCCCCAAGGGGAATTTTTTTTTCGGGGGGGGGGGGGAGGGGGATGTTTTTGATCAAGAGGATAGGACCCCGGGGGGATTAGGGGCCCCCCCCCCCCCCCCCCAGTCTCGTTAACGCTCCGTTTCAGGTGCACCGTAGGGATACGAAGTCAACAGTTCGTCTACTGCGGGAAGCCTTTTCGGTGGGATACCGCCAATACATCTGTTACATGCAGAAGAATATTAATTTTGTTATAGTGTGTGGGGCACGGTGCTTCTTGTCCAGACGAACAATGGGGGACTGTTTTCGTCTGTCTCGGGGGAGAGGAGACGGGGGTTGCATTTGATATTTTAGTTTAGTTGGCAACAGTGATCCCACCAAGGCAGTCAAGGAGTGAGCGCACGCTGGAGGCTTTTGTGGGCGAGGACCGCGCATCCCAGCCGAGACTCGGCGGAACAGAGACCGAACGAGATATGTCTGGACCGTGGCGCACCTTGACGGCGGGGGGTAGGGAGCGAAAACGAACGTGTTTTTTGTCTTCGTCAAGAGCGCTCTTCGGGGCTCTTAATGAGATGACGTCAGTCCTCCCGAGATTTCTACGAAATAATAAAATAGTGCTTTCTAGGGCGTATTGGTGTCCGTGGGTCGGCCTCGCTCAGGAGGACAGCTGAGCCAGAACATGCATGGATACGATATAGCTGAGTACACAGTTAATTTTCATTGGCTACTTTGTGGCGCCTACAACGGTCACGCGCGCCCTCTGGTCACACCTACCCATCCACCCCCAAACCGCCGCATAAACTTGTTTTTTTCGGGGGGGGGTTGTCGCTCGCTTTTTTCTTGGTTCTTGTTGCAGCTCTTCTTCGCGTGCGCAAGCGGGAACACTACGGTAGCCCGCTACCTCACGCGCATCGAGGTCGGCGCCCGGTACGACATAAAGGACAAGCGCGGGCACCTCGCCGGGGAGTACTTCTGGGGGTCCGTCGACCCTGAGACCAGGGACGAGATCGTCGCGATACTCGTGGCCTGCGGGTGGCCGCACCCGCCGCCGCCTCCCCGAAACAACTCGAGGTTGAGGGGCAGGGGGTCGGGCAGGGGGAGCAGCGGTAGGCACGGGGGGCAACGCGGAAGGTCGACCAGCGCCCCCCCCTCGAGAACCGCGTCGCCTCGCAACGACCGCGGCGGCGCCGGGGGCGGCGGAAACGGCCGGGCGAAGAGACACAGCGACGGCGGCGAAGCGGGGATGAAACGCCTGGCGAGCGACATGATGATGCTCATGAAGAGGCGTTAGTGCCGGAGGGGGGGGGGGGCTTGGATACTACGGAGCGCTCTGCGTTGCCTGTTGCCTTGGTGAGGCACGCTGTCCGCTATCTATTCGGCTTCGCGCCCGCGTTTGGGCGGTGCTCGCGTTGGTTTAGAGATGCTTGATGGGGGCCGGCTGCTCCTCTGCTGTCTGGGCTTGGCGCAAAGATGGCATGGTTGCCCGCTGCTGCTGCTGCTGCTGCTGCCGTTTCCGCATTAAGTAGTACCAGTGGCTGCAGCGGTTGGTATCTTGTCCGGATCTTTCGCGCGGGTTGTCCGCTGTTGTTTTATGACCGTGTTGTGGTTTCCCTGTGCCGAGCGAAGGTCAGTTTGATCATTTGCACAATAAAATTTATCCGTAATCTAGTATCGACTCACCCCGCAAGTTATTTCCGGGGTGCTTGCTGTGTGTATCGGCTGGGCACCTGAAGTACGTACCTCTAAACGAAAAAACAACAATTGATTATGGTTCTTTTTATTTTTTGTATGTCAAGACTAACCTTAGTGCGTATGTTTATTCTTTGTGTATTGTGCTTTTCGAGTGGGCATTTGGTGTCGTCGCTGTTTTTATCTTGTTCGAAAAGCTTCCTCGGAGGTGTTAAAATACCATGTTTCTACATAGCTGGTATGGTGGCTGCAGAGGGTGCGATAGGAGAGGAGAGTTGTTCTTGGGTGCGCTCGTGCGAAGCGGGGTGAGGGAGTCTGACAAATGCACAAGATTTTCTCCATTTTTGCTTTTTTTTTCCATGCGTGTCTTTTGAGGGAAATTGCTTTTATCCGGGGGGCTGAACTAGCCATCCGTTTTGTGAGCCAGGGCCTCCCTCCCTGGCCTTTCGTTTTCGTTCGCTTGTCCGTGCCCCCTGCCCGAGGTTGCCCGGGGTTTGGCAAGCAGGTTTGATTGGCTTTCGTGCCCGACCTTTCACGGTCTCTCTCTTGTCTCTTGTCTCTCTGTCGCTTGTTTTTCATGTTGCGTTTTTTTTCCCTATTTTGCTCGCTCAAATGTTTTTAAAGGACGTTGTACGTCCGTTATTACCACCTGCTCGGCGGGCGAAAAAAAGGAGAGTTTGATCGTCGATATGGGTTGTTTTTCCTTCGTTTTTGTGTTCTGTTAAAAATTTGTTTCGTCTTTGGTAGAAGTTCACACTTTGCAGCCCTGGCTAGAGCAGGCTTGGAAAATGGCCGTGTTCGAATCGAATATGTGGGTCGTGCAGGTGCCTACCTTTTTACCACTTATATTTCTTTGGCCAAGGTTCCATACTAATATTAGTTTGTTTTTTTTTTGGTCTCGCTGGTGATGTGATATTGCAGGACAGCGCGGCGTTGAATGGTGTCTCGGCGATGGCCTGCAAAAACCAATGGGTGGTTGCTGTCTGCAGTTCGTCGGTGTTGGTTGGTGTGCCCACGTGGTGTAAATGCCCACACACAAAGCACTGGTAGTGGGGGAGGGTGGATGGACGGTGGTGAGAGATTTGCTGTTGCATAGGAAATATGTCAATGGTTAGCTCTAGGTGGAGGCACGAAGTGGGTTGATGCAGTGCCGCCATTGGTTTTGATTCGGAAACCGCACGCGGGTCAATGGACAGCTATTGTTTTGCTTCCTACTTCCAAGCGCGAGCTTGGGCCGAACGGAGCACTACGGCACTAACGCCGATCGTTTTTTGGGATTCCTTCATACGTTTAGTACTGGTTTCGGCAGTCAAGTGCGCACGATTTTGGCGCCGCTGGCTCATGCGAAAACACTGGTACTGTTTAGGGTTGTGAATAGAGGTTTTGATGATGATATACATATGTAAGCCGTGCGGTAGGCGTGCTGGCTCGCAGTGGCCTTTAGCCTCGCAATCCATCTCTCTCGATGTGTTGGCTGTCAAAATATTTTAGTAGCTTGTGTTTCCTTGAAGATCAGATAGTCTATCATCTTCATTTCTCTTGGTTTTGGTCGTGTGAGCGGTGACGCGCCAACGTCTCTGCTTGTCTGCGGCGTCTCGTGTACATTGATGAGGCTCCCACGTATCCTTCCTACTGGTATTGGTTGACCTTATTTTCACAGTAAAATATGAACGGGTTGTGTTTTTGCCATTTCTTGCGTCGCCTATCGTCAGCTTGAGCTGTGACGCTTCCGGCGTCTAGAGGGGGGTGGAGGGTAGGGAGACCCTTGATGCTCCAGCCGTGGGCCACGAGGGGCGACTTCTGGTACTTTGCATTGGGAGCACACGCACGTAGTGTACAGTTAACCATACAAGGTTGTAGTGAGAAGTTGGTCAAATATTGAAATACTTCATGATTTCCACGAATTGAGTGTTGGGTTGCTTTCTGTATGTGTTGACACGCATGCACGCCCCGTGACCCGCTCTTGTTTCAGGCGGTCAAGTTCGGATGGAGCAATGGCAAACGCTGTGGGGCGTGCTGCACACGCTTTTTCTCTGCTCGTGCGTGGTCGTAGTCAGTCTTGGTGTGCACTTGCTTTCGAACACGCAAGACTAGACACACACCTTTCGGCCATGTACTGTAGCAAGAAATGTCTGTCGCCGGGTGGAAGCAATGCGTCATGACGCGCATGCATTCCTTATGTGAAGGTGCAAGTATCCGCGCCTCAACGATCATACGTGTGTAGCCCGCGGCACACACAGACGCATTTGCTGCGTATGTATCAAGTGTACAATGTGCTGTACATGTATCTTTCTGGCGCATTGGCTTGGAGTGGGTGTTTGAAGCCACGCGATCAGGAAGAAGCGACAGGGAGAGAGAGAGAAAAAAAATCGCTAAAATGATATCCGACGTACGTACCTCCGTCGATCCTGTGCTGGCCGCCCCAGCCTTCACTGGAAGCGAAGCGACCAGGCTCACTTTCGAAGCAGTCCCACATCTGGTTGCCTTTCTAAAACGAAGCCATCAACGATGGGCCCAAAGCCGTCTCACAACCCCGCAGAGCTGGACATCAACGGGCCTCCTCATATTTGGGCTCCGTGTTAAATCTCTACCACCCCAACTCTGTTGGATGGCACCAGCTACCACCCCAACTGTGTGAGATGGCAACAACCCCCCCTTCGCCTCCCCTTCTTCAAGCCGGCAGGCTATGTGGCGAAATTACAAAACAACTACTGGCACCATCTATTCTACCTCGAACGTGTGGGAAGCAGCAGCAGCATAGGTAGAGCCGCAGTTGTCGTCTCCATCACTTCCAACACCCGCTCTCCCCCCACCCCACTCGATCCGCCGACCTGGCGACGGGCTGCCCCTTCTCTCTCGCCCCCCCCCCACCAGCGCCGCTGCCGCTGTAAGAGAACATTTGTGCGGGGGCGACAACGACGTTGCTGGAATCGACGACCTCCCTCCAGAGCGGGTTCGTCACGAGCACACTCTTCTCTCCGACCACCAGCAGGTGATGCCTCGCTCGGGTGAGGGCCACGCAAAGCCGCTGCGGGCTGGGGGAGCCGTGAAGGTGAAAAATGAGGGGGGGGGGGGCATTGTGAGCCGCGGGGGAGGTGGAAAGTGCCGAGATAGGAGGACGAAGCCAGGGGCCCCGGTGAGTGTTTCAATCATTAACCCCGAAAAATTCCCAAGCTATATGTTGACGGTGAGGTTCCTTGTCTCAGCGAGCGAAGGGTGAGCATATTGCTACGGTAGGTTGCATGACGTAAGATATCACACACCCTTGCCCGATTTTCAAAGATCGATTACTCTGCAGGAAGGGCAGTGACGGTGCCGAAAATGGCGCGTTGGAACCATCTCGTCGGGACCTTTCTGACAACGTATCCTTTGATTTCAGCATCCTCTTCGTGGAGTAATGAAGCTTTGAAAAACGTTTCAGGGGGTGTGGTATCTAATGCAACCTACGGTATTGTAGCGCAAAAATAGAACGCGGTTGTCGTGCGTTGGGAGCGCGTGAGTGCGTGCGTGAGTGCGTGCGTGCGTGCGTACACAGGGAAAAGGGGCCCGTCGCCGAACCCTTCTCACGCCCAACAACGAAATATCCGAGGCATAGGAGAGTATTCTCGTCTGCGTGACCCCGGATCGATTGGTTTCCTACAGCTACTATAGCCGAGAAAGGCAAGAAGACCGTAAGGGTAGGAGATAGATACGTAGAAACTTCGAGCGACGGCCACTAACACGGGTTTGCCTGATTGCCGAAGTACGGGACGCGAGCATTGATTTCCTTCGTCGAGTCGACCCATGAAACAATTACTTGTACCAGGCGAGACAGCTCTCATCCCATGTGGGGGGAGATACGGGAGGCGCGTGCGGGCGGCGCCCGGAGGGCGAAGGGTAATCGTATATTGGTTCGTTGGCTCAGAATTTGGAGCATTAGAGGTCGTAGCCATGAGTTGGATCGATCGGTAGGACGGGGGGGGGGGGGGGGGGGGGGGCCTTTTTTTTTTTGTGCCTTTGGGGTTAAACCCTTG